TACTACCGATAAAATATTTGTTATTTAGACTAAGCATCAACATTCCCAACCACTGTTATTTTTTTACGGAAAGCAAGCATGGGCTGCTGCGTGCATGGTTTGGCATGGCAGAATGCGAGCAGCACACTTCCTTTATTATCACAAAAAGCTGACATCTCAGTTAATCGCGATCTCATAAAGCTCTGTTATAACACTAAATATATGCACAATGAATCTTTCAGAGTGTCTAAAATGAGAGGATTCGTGAGCACGCAATTTCAGCGCTTTGGTGAGTAGTTTCTAACTTGATCACCTCTGATTGGCCATTGCGTTCCAGAAATCAACAGCTGAGTCTGTGATTGGCTATATTATAAATGGAAACTAGGCTATGTGTAGCTGGCGCGTTAATCATTTTATTGTTAATATTAGTTGTTCTTTTTGCTTTAGTGCAACAGATAAATAACAATTTATATGTTTTAGACACTTTATGTTTAGATCATTTCTATTTTGCGGGAGTCCCGCGAATCATTTTATTCTCCCGCATACCGACACGAGTCTCTTCCTGCCCGCACCCGCACATCAAGAGTTGTCCCGCGCCGCACCCTGTTGCGTTGGGTCCTGCGGTACTCCCGCGGGAGTGCAGGTCTCTACTGCAGGCAACCCGTTTTGGGTGCGGGGAGGGGCATTTTACTGCGTGATAAATATGAGCAGCACGGCACAGCGGTTTATATTTATCCATAAATGGATAAATATTAATTCTGCTGTTAAAAACAAATAAAGAAACCATGTAGGAGAGTGGTTATTATGTGCAAACCGTGAGAAACTCTATATTTGAGCAGCGTGCACATGTTAAAAAAATTAATTCCAATTTGAAGCTTGTGACATAAACACGCACATCAACCCGATCACTTTCTTTAGCGTTCATGTAAACACTACATTCAGATTCATCAATCGGAATGAATTCAGTCCGATTGAACCAAAAACTGTCCGTGTAAACGTAGCCAATGTTTCGAAACGTTTCGAAACTCCGATGGTTCACCACTAGGGGGTGTTGATCTCAAAGGGCCCGTTTACACCTGGTCATTTCATGCATTTTCGCTGATCGGATATCTATCTGATTTGTTAAAACGTTTCCATTTACACTTGGCCACATAAATGTGTCGTCGCAAAACGGATATAAATCCAATCTTCAATTCCCGCGCTATATTTAAATTGAACGGAGTTCACGTCAATGAAATCAAAAGATAAGCGCTACAAAAGATAAGCGCTACAGGCATCAGCACTGGAAAGATACGTTTGTCTTACTGCTTTTAATGAAGATGATTGTGTGTTGACCATTTGCGTATTAGGCTACTTGGTTTCATTCACGGCAGTTTGCACGTCGGCTTGCTGAAGAGTTAGCTACTCGTCCACTGTGATGCGTGCTGCATTAGCGCAGTCATATCTGACTATAATGTCATAAAACCTATAACACGCTCTCACACGTTTATTATTTTCATATTTTGGGAGGAGTAAAATTTGCAGATGTGGTTTCAACAACCAGATGCATTTAGACTTGTCCAGTTTCGTCTGGAATGCGGCCCAGACCACCTCTTGAAGTGGATTGAGCGATCGGATTTATATCCGTCTCGAATGCGTTTCGGAGGGCATTTACACCTGGCCTTTTCATGATCGGATAGCTATCCGATCAGACAGAACGCATGAAGTGACCAGGTGTAAACAGCCCCACTGTGAACCCATAAACCACTTCTGGTTGCCCAGTTAATCATGTGACATGAAATCCCACAAAATTTTACTATAAAAAATTAAGAATTCAGGGCCAGATGTTGTGGGTTAAACAAAAGATAACTTCCCTTTAACACAGATGGCTATATAGTTTAAAAATGTGTACAAATCACATCATACCTTAAAAATAACAAAATGAGCTTACGATATAATTAAATCCACCTCCTTCTCCTGACTGATAACACTACTCTTGCCTGCTGGTTTTTATAGACAGTTCTAATGAAAACACTTAATTAAATTACATAAATCAATGTATTCATTAAATAATTAATTTGGTTCATTGTGTGTTAAGGGTTTGATTATACTTAAATAAAACACATAACACAAGCACTAATGTTTAATAGTATTTAAGTGTTTATTATTTATTTTAAAAAAATGGTATTTCTAAAAAAACATTTCCATTTGTTTTGTAGTTTGGTCTGAGTTCTTGATGCTTTTACAACGTTTTCACCAGCAGGTGTCGCCAGCATGTACTGTTTCAAGTGCTTCGAAACATCAAATCATTTTTCGAAGCAATTGGTTCAATTGATTCAATGCTTCGAAAAGCTTCGTTTCTCCCATCACTAAATATATTAGGAACACTTAAAAGTCAGCAAAATACAACTTTCAACAGATCTCCATTATTAAACCCTGGTTTGTATTGTGTTATAATTTTGTCAAGCCATTTATCAATGCATTGTGAGCATGAACTTTTGCTAAAGGTTTGCTAAATATTTTTTTGCAGATTCATCGAATAAATCAAATATATGGAACATATGATTGCTGACATGTTGATTAAAAAAATGTAGTTGAAACTGTGATGGGGACAGCATGATTTTGTACGTGATGTTGTTGGTTTCTGCTTAGGTGCATGTTTATAGGTTTTGTAGGCACAAATTGTGCCTGCATATACATTTCTAAAATAAATAAATCAAAGATTTTTTTATTATTCATTAAATAGGAGGTGTTGTAGCTGATAGTGAA